AAGAAACTAAAACCTTTATGCTATAGTCTGTTTAGACTATTATATATTTGAGGCAGCTACTCTTTAACCTTAAATCAGCCATGAAGGTCAGACTGTTAATTTCTAAACCACTAGCCTCTTAGAACTGCAAACAGGGATTTGAGCCCCATTGAAATGAGTTATGCAAGGCTGCTCTTGCCCTCGACAGGTCAGGATTTAGGTTATATGCAGTAGATCACTAAACAAGGAAGGGCTAAGAGAAAATAAAACAAAACAACCTCACAAACCAAGCACATATAGAACCACATATATAATTCTAGCTGGTCAGAATCAACAGTCTTATAACACAAGCTCAAATCTGACCCCTAACGTGCAAATTATTGCCATACTCATTCTTTAAAACGTTGCTTGAAATCACAGATCAAGTTGATTCCACGCTATTGAAGGATGAGGAGTCTGAAAATACAGAACTAAAAGAATTACTGTGTCAGAGCTCCGTAGTGGAATAAGATGCCCTGTTACTTTCCAGAGACTTGCAAGACTCCTTTTCTGAATCATGACTCACTTGCAATGCAGTAGTATATAGAGGGCCAAAGGTGCCAAGCCTGTTACATATAATGAAGTCCCTGCCTGTTGCATGGCAAGAAACAGATGACCAACCTTTCATAAGATAAAAATTATGGATGTGGAAGAGGGAAATGCCTTTCTTTTGCTGTTTTTCCCCTTTTGCATCATTTCTTGATGTTAAACTTACTAATCAAAACAACACGAAAGCCGAGCTGGAAGAAAGTAATCAGTCTCCTCTGGCCTTGTTCTGCTGAAAGGCACCAGCAGCACAAGTCAGTTATTCAGTGCTTAACTTTCATTTGAATGTTTAGTCTGCAAGGAGTCTCAGACATCCTCTAAAGTAGAAACATTGTGTTTATACCTAAAGGCTAAAACTAAATTCTATAGAATGTCAATTTACACTGAGAGCCCGTGCCCTATTACAGGATGAGTTTAGGGTTCACATCAGTCATGCTTTGCTACTGTTTGCACAGGATAACAAGCAAACCCAGAGAGAACCCGTAATAACAAAACTCCCCTTAACTTAACTTTGTGAAGATAAAGCTTTTTAAAAAGTACACGACAAAAATCCCAACTCAGAAAGCCTTTTCTGCAAAAACCTTCAGGGCTTGAATCTCTGCTGCCTCTTCTGCCTTTTGACTTAACATCCCACAAGACAGAAAGATCTGGTTAAGCAACTAAAAACAAGCTAAACCTAAGAAAAACTCCTGACTTTTGGAGAGAGTTTTGTTTGTGGAGAACTGCAAGATCCATCCAAGCCAGTTGAATTATTTTACATAGTCTGATAGACAAATTAACTCATTTTATTCTGGAAACAGAAGCTTCCTTTTATTTGTGCATTAACTTCACACCCTTTTGTTAAACACACTTAACTTTCCTGCACATCCCTGTGCTGACGAGCCCTAAATGAAGCTAATTGACATCATGAAAACAAATCTTGGCTTTTAACACAGGATTTCTCAGACTGTGTGAGGCACTTACAGCTCTATTTTTGCCTGATCTTTTAGGCAGAGGCAGGAAGAGTTTGAGGAAGATGGGGTTTTTTTTGATCCTGTGTTGCAAACCAGTGTAGTTGACCCTTCTGTTGCAAAAACTGCCTTTCCAGATACAAAGATGGAACAATGAAGAAAGCACTCTGCTACCTAATGTAATTTTGATGTCCAGAAAACAAAATAAATACTCATAAATAACTTCTCCCTTTTTATCCTCTCCCCCCCTTTTAAGCACAAAAATGCATCACATAATGGAAACAAGCTCTTCCATTTCAAACCAGTTTCGGCACTTAAAAACTGAATGAATTTATTTGCTTTTCTACTTTGTACCAAATCACTATTGATATTAATATCTACATCAAAAGATGCATGCTACAGTCATTCAATTTGCATTCCTATTGCACCTGCTAGCATTTATTGCACACATGCTACTAAATTGTTGTCCTTGCTATTCAAAGTCCCTTGCTCTAGCTTTAAATGCACAACATCCAGTTAGCAACTACGTCTGCAGTAGAGCAACAAACACTTCAAAGCTTAGCCCTTAAACCACAGTGATAACACTAAGCGAGAAGTAAAAATCAGCAAAAACCAACAAGGAACAATACATATGCAATTACAGCAAAATGGATTATAGGAGTGAACATGTGCTTACCTTCCTGCACATACCTACAGAAACCCATGGGACTCATTGAACGCATACATAAAATAAGAGTTCTGGGGTCCATTCTATTCATGTTCAAGCCAATAGACTAAGTTTCTCTATCTCAGTGGGAGAATACTGAGCCCCAGAAAAATCCTTGTCCTTAGCTATACAAACCTAAATCAAACCTATCAATAGCAACAAAAGCACTACATTCTGCTACTCTAAAGGCACAAAACTGGAAAACAAGCGTAAGGAAAGCAGAGATAGATTTTTTTATTTCAGATATTACACATGGTAAAATTCAGTGCTCTATCATGTAGAACAACCTCTGCTGAGGTCAGCGTAAGCTCTGGATCTATCCAAGATTTGAACTTGACCCATTAAGTACCTGATTTATACAAAAAAGAAACTATCTCAAATTGCTTGATAAAACACTGAGAAAAAAAGCGAGAAATGCTTTCTCAGTACATATGAAATAAGAAGAGCAGGCAGTGCTGCCACATTTCTTTTGAATCAATAATTTATTGTTCTAACACAAGCACAGAAACTGATCCTCAGATGTAAATCTTTTCCAGGCAAGTGGCAACCACTGGAGCTGGATCCAAATCTCAGAATCTTAGCAAATAATGTTGTAATGCAGAAGGCTTAACCTACTAAACTGTTTTTTCCTTTCCAGATGCAATTGCACGTTTGTCTGATTCTTGCATTACATGATAGGAGAAGCGTAAGTAAAGTTTGAAAATTTAATTTTAATTGCAAATAAGCTCACAGAGTACATTGTGAAGCCTCTGTTCCGCTCCCTTCCACCAGTCACTTCATACCACCCGTTATTCAGTCGAAATCCAGCTGCGCACAAGTCTCCAGCTTCCCAACACTTTATTACCTACAACCTCAACTATCCTGCTCTCAGCACTGCCATCTAGTAGAAAGAGACAGCGTACCACGGGCCGACTGTCACATCAGCTCGAAAGGCAGCAATATTCCGGCAGGGCATCACCAAGCTGTTGCTGCTGCTAATATTTTAACTGCAGCCAGTAGTTACAAGGTTAACCACCGACTGCACTTATTTGAAAGCGGCCTCCTCCCAAACTCCCCAGTTCTTCCCCGGCTTCACCAGCCTCATCCAGCTAGCGCTACTAAAGCGAACAAACCGGCGGGGAAAGGGGATTCACAGAAAAGCCCCCAACCTTGGGCACACCGCCCCCATCAGACGCCCCCGCCCCCAGGTAGCAGCAGCAGCGCGGGCGCTACGAGGCACCGGTGCCTCAGGGGAGGCAGACGG